CACAACAACAGACCAGCATGCAACAAAGTGGTCCCTGGTTCAATAACAGCACAGCAGGCAGTTTATAGAGACCAGTTGCAGTTGTTCTTCCATCCAAACATAAAGTGCAATCTGGGAAATTGCATGTAAATGTCAACCAATTTCCAACCAATCCATATTTGTGAGGTGTGCAACAAATTTACAAACAGCAATACCTCATTGAGGTTTCTATAAACAATATCAATACACATACATTGTAAATTTCTGCACAAAGCTTTACATTTTCAACCAATGAATTTAAATTCTTTAATTTAAACAATTATAATTCGTGTCACACATAAGGCATTATGGGCAACTCTTATGGAATTATAGGAATCAAATGGAAGAATTAAAAAGCTCCAGTGCTTGGTTGCTGAACATGATCAGATTTAAATGGGCTGCAGAGAACCATTTTAATCTCAGACCTTATTCAATCTGACTGCATTTATAGACAACATTTGGGAATGTATTTCTGCCTTTAGCTATCAATTTTAACACTGGATTAAAAAAGTCCTGCAATCATTTTTGAATTTATTGCTGAACACGCGCTCTGCTTTAAAGCATCACTGTAACTGCCTTCAAAGAAGATGAATGCAGAGAAGAGTCAGTGACAAATCTAATGACCAGTTCTCGCTCAGCAGCTCTCGTTTAAGCGTTTATTTCTAGTACTGACTGAACCCTGCTCAGCCTGACTCTCAGAAACCAGCCGAGGGACTGGAACAGACAGCTCTCCTTGTGTTTTCAGCTGATGGTGAGATGAAAGTACAGCGCAGACACTGCTGATGAAGGAGTGACATGTAGTATCCTCTGCTCTGAAATGAGCGGACCATGACACAATATTACAACAGTAATGTCTCGTTTTTAATTTAGTAAATCTAACTTCACTGTAAAAAAGGAGTGTCATTTTAACTGTAAAATACTGTAAAAACACTTCAGGAAAAAAACTGCTAATAGGTTAACAGTAAGTTCCCATAATATATACAGGGAAAAACTGTAAAAGATCTAAAAGACATTTCATGTAATTTTACAGTAAAATGCTTCAGATTTTTTTTTTTTTTTTAGAACTAAAAGAACAAATCAACATATAATTTAGGTCAAAAAATGTAAACTGATTTTTCCAGAATTCCCTGCGGGACACTCCATATTTGGAAGTATTTTGTTTAAATGCGTTGTACATTTGGGTTTTATGTTATGTTATCTTCTGTTGTTTAATGAATGTTTATTGCATTATTTATTATTTAGAACATTTCATTTATGTTGCAACAATTAACTGAATATTAATTCAACATAGTGCTGGGCGGTATGACCAAAAATTTATATCACTGTATTTTTCAAAATTATACCGGTTTCACGGTGCATGACGGTATTTTTTTTTTCATGCATGACCAGGTGTTAACCATATTTTCTACTGATTGAGAGTAAACACTGCAGTATATTGACTTAGAATGCCCTATTTTACTGTCATGATGAGTGAATATTGTCAAAAAATACCACACTAAATAGTGACTAAACACGACCCCTTTTAATACATGTTAACCAGGAGTCACTCTCATTTATAATCGCGGCATCGTCTGATAAAATCAACATGCATCTACACTAAAGAGCGGCTATGCGGTGGTTTTGGCTATATTACTTTTTTGTCTCATGCAGCGCACTGCCTGCGTCTGAGTAACAAACTAAAAAAAAACAACAAACAAAAAAGTGCATGTGATATTAACAGACGAACTACGCTCATATTTATAATTCCAAACAATCAGTACATACAGCTGTTCCCTCACCACAGTGCAACAGTGAAAAGGGACCCCTGGGTCAGTTTAAACGGCATACACCGGCATTGCGGTATTTAAAAAATTCATATCATAACAAAAATAAACACCGGTATTCGGTATGAACCGGTATACTGCCCAGCACTAATTCAACATATTCAACCTAATTTGTATAACTGTTGTATAAATGCTGAATAGTAGACTTAGTAGTAAACTTTTCTTGCAAGGTTAATTTTAAGTTAAACCAGCTTAACTAACATATCTTAATAGTTCTTACTAAAAACATATCAAAGCACATTAGAGCTTTTGAATATCTGCATCGTTTTTGGTCCAATTATGAAACTTTTGTACTATTTACAGTCTAAACCAGGGCTGTCCAAACTCGGTCCTGGAGGGCCGGTGTCCTGCAGAGTTTAGCTCCAACCCTAATTAAACACATCTGAACCAGCTAATCAAGCTCTTACTAGACAGAAACTTCCAGTCAGGTGTGTTGAGGCAAGTTGGAGCTAAACTCTGCAGGACACCGGTCCTCCAGGACCAAGTTTGGACAGCCCTGGTCTAAACCATCTGGGTTTTATTATATTTAAGTCATGCTCCCATGTGTTTATTTATATAGAAGACACATAAAGGGTTATATTTCCCTGAGTAACCTACCAGTGAGGGAGTGTGGGCAGCGTCCAAAAGTAAAAGGCCAAATCACAAGTAACTTTTTGACCCCGGTTGTGAGGGTGGAGGTCAGGTTACATCGGCAGGAGTAATGAGGTTACTAGCTCACGGTGCTGGAAAGGATAGCAAAGACCAATTTCCAGCACAGTCCATCTCCATTAAAAGAGTCTTTCCGACAGCATCCAGAGAAACCAACAAACACTGAAGTAGGGGGGAAAAAATAAAAACGTCATTAAGTCACTCCGCTCTCCACCAAACAAGGAGAGATACTCAGGAATAAGGTCAATGGAGATTAAACCCAACCTCAAAAGAACAGAGTAAAACAAAAGACAACAGCAGAACAATGTCCCAGGACAGCAGCCCGGACGGACGCTGGGAGGGGGCCATGCTAACGTCAAACATACTCAACTTTACTTTAGCTAAAGGGAGGCACGAGAGGCCAGAGGGATTGCGAGGTGGTCAAGGGACACTTGGCCATTTCCTATTTTGGCCCCAGAGCTGGATCCTCCTCATTATGACAACAGTGCTGGCGTTTCACAATGCTTCTCTTTGTGTCGCCTCCTAAGCCCATGGATTCCGTGCCCATCCGCAGAGCCAATCAACTGACAGTCACTCCCAATTTACAGGCCGAATCAAGTTTCCCGCTGATGGTCCCCGGAGGCCAACGAGACGCTGGGAAAATTGATGGCCCTTTCCCATGCCGTTACAACACACAGTATGTCAACAGCCCTCATTGGACTTGGTGGAGAGGACTGTGTACAATCAACACCCTCCAAACGAGGAAGCCAGAGGAGGTTGCACTCGGACTAGGCATATGAGGGTATCAAATTGTCATGTTGCGATTAATTGTTAATGCTTTCATCATGGTATACGGTATTATCAAGTGTTGTCATAATACAGTATAACAGGTTTAATAACTTTTTCTTATAACAAAAAGAACTGAACATTTAAATACAATAAAGCAATACACAAAAATGTATAAAGCAAAAAATTACCCAGATTAAAGTGCAAAAGAATTATAAAGAGCAATAGGTAACACTTTACAATAAGATCTCATTAGTTAACCTTAGTTAATGCATTAACATTAACAATGAGCAATAGCTACATTTGCTACAGAAGCTATTAAGATTTGTTTAAAAAAACACAACGGTTAGTTCATATTGGCTTGAGTTCATTAAATAACAGTTGCAACTTTTGATTTTAACGAGTTAATTACCTAAGATTAATTAATGTTTAGAAGAATTTTTCTTTGGCAGTTTATGGTAACTAATTAATTAACTAATGTTAACTATTGGAGCCTTAAAATAAAGTGTCTCTGAACAATAAAGAATCAAAACCTTTTCAAACAATATCAAGGGCATGTTGTAGTCCAGATTAAAATAAAGTTTGAAAATAAATCGCCTATTAAGTCTAAATATTTAAGTATTTGGCACGTTGATGAGCACCATTGCGAATAGTACACAAATCTGAATGGCTCTTTAAATCATTTAAATAAGTTTCAGAAACAAAGTAGCGCAGCTGCTTTATTTACGGGGTTTCCGGGGTAACAGCTGCATTTCTGCTGTTGTTTCAGCACCATCTGCTGTCAGAGAGTGAATGTGTGCTTTCATTCAGAGCGTCTCCTTCACTCGTTCCGCCACGCGCTTTCTCATCCGTGCTTGTTTACATCAGAGTGCACACACGTCTTTGATGCAGCATACATCGGTTGTGCATTGTAACCAGTTGATGGGAAAAGTATTCTTAAAATGCTTTCAAAAAATCTGAATAATTTGTAATAAATAATTATTCACTGTATTTTGAAGTTCCCAAGATAACACTATCATGCATGTTCATTACCGTGATATATCGCATTACTGAATACCGGCACATGTCTAACTCAGACCAACGTCCAAAACCTCTGAATATGAACAGAGAGTGACTGAACATGGTTTAAGACATTTCCTTTGTTTTCAGAGCGCGTTTGCTCATACCGTGGGTGAGTTCGAGGGCATCTCGTCAAGGCCTGCCACATGACCTGTTGTTTTAACCAGTAATCTGGGTCTTATTAGTCATGCTCCCATGTGTTTACTTTTCACATGTAATCTCCAGCTTGCCTCGTCCTGCTGTTAACTAAACAAAACCCGAGAGGAGGGGGACGCCGTGCCTGCGGACAGGGCCTAATGGGTATGGAAATATCCGGGCCTTTGTGTCCGGCGTCCAGGCGTGATCATTCAGCTAACCCTGGGCTTTAAACATGCAGTTCCTGGTGGCCATGGAGAGGCCTCCGCTCGTTAGACAAAACATGTTAAAACACTCCACAGAGACAATACAAGCCAAAGACACAGCACTACATTACTGTGCTGGAAATTGCATAAAAATGTAAAAATTTGTCTTTGGAATGCAGAGGAAAGGAAATCATACCTGCAAACTCACAAGAGGTCAAAAAGGTGATATAGTTCGAAATATAAACCTTGTAGGGGGTCTGGTGGCCCCCCAGAAGAAAATTTCTGAGAATTTTTGAGGAAAAGACAACATCTGCTTCATGTAAAAAAAAAAAAGCACATTTATACCACAAAATTTTTGGACAGTGCAACTCTGTTGTCATCGGTGTCCATACTTCTCTTTGTGAGCAGTGGAGTAATTTATTTTTGCAAATTTTAATGTTCACATTAGAGTGCGCATACTATCAACAAACTCCATTTTTCACTGCAGAGGAAACAGAAGCTGCATCTGAAGTGGCATTAGATGCATTCACACAGACTGTTTAATGAAGCTGAGGTGCCATAAATGCATTTACATCACAACATTTCAAATGCATAAATAATTTTATAAGATTAATGTTTTAAATATTTTTGAACATGGGTCAAAGACGTTAAGATGTCCACATCAAAAGAAATTTATAAAAGTGATTTTATGTCCATAGAAAGCACATTAAATGTAAGTAAAGTGTCTACTTTTAAGGTTTCAAATAACTTTTTGGAGAATAAAATGTCAAAATTTGGTTGAAATAATGTTACATTGTCATTCAGTGTAACACAATATTTATGTAAAAATTCAAACATTAACATATTAAAATATATAAAAGAATAAGGAAGCATATTAAATTTGATTGTGTTTTAAATGAGTAAAAAATTTACTTACTGACAAATGGGCAAAACCTAGAATAGTGGCAAATTTTAAAAATGTCAAATTACAACTCATTAGTATTTGGGGTGAAAGTAATTAATTAGTCTTTTAATATATCATAAATTGATTTTTGTTGTAAATATGCCTGACAAGATTGTTACACTGAATGACATTTTAGTGGGTCTCTTCTGTAAATCAGGAGAAAATGTATGATATTTACTTTTTTGCTCAGAAAAGCAAAAACAAAATTGCAATTAAATTAAACAGAAAACTTTTTATTTTTGGGGGGGAAAAACAACAACAATTTAAAGCAGTATTACACTTAATACTGCTTAAACCCTTAATAATGCTTAAACCCTTTTTCGTCTTTGACACACATACAAGTTTAAAATGTTGGGAAAAATACAATACTTTTAAATATGAAACCAAACCACCAGTAGATGATGGTAAATGACTGTTTTAACCGTAACCCCGAAAAAATTCATAATCAAATTACTAAGCAACCCCTTTATGGAATAACTAGGGCTGCAACTAACGATTATTGATTATTTTGATTAGTTGGTCAATTATTTATTTATTTTTTCGATTAATCAATTCATCGGATTAAAAACAAAAAACAAACTTTTTTTATTTTATTGACAAAAACACACTATTCCACATTCTGCCCAATGTCCTTAAAACAAACGTTCCAACTGAATGCTATGAAAACATACAGTGCTTAACAATTTATTAGACCACCTGCCATAATAAAGAGAAAACACATTTTTAGGAATTTTAGGAATCTGTCAAAAAATTGTTTAAATAAAAAAAATTGTTATTGTCATTTATTTATAATTAAATACTTTTATTTATTCACATAACAAAAATGGCCTCCTATGCCCTTCATAGCTTGCATTCTTGCTGGCATTGTTTAAGTAGTTTAAGTACTTAATTGGGTATCTGAAAAAAAAAAACACTATAAAGCTCTCTGCCTTTCTTTCATAGATAACAGCAATAATTATATTATAGCATTAGAAA